ATGTTGCAGTGGTTGAAATATAGTGCAGACCTCAAATAAGTGGTTTATTTCTTTGAGTCTCAGTTTCTCTATCTGTAAAATGGGGATAATATGGATTAGGTGGGGTTATATGTGTATATACATGTATATTGTATATATTTGAAGCATTTAGCATAGCACCTGATTTAACAGGACAATTACTTCTCAAAATTAGCTTGTTGTTCCTAATGAGATTGAAGTGCTCAGAAAAACAATTGTGATTTAAAATGAGATATTCGGTAGCAGTTCCATTTGGCAGACCCCCAAACATCCTCAGGGATCCGGATTCGGAGCAAGATGCCAGTCTTAGCTTTATGTTGGGACTCGTAGTGTGGACAGAGGTCAAGGAGAGGCTGTCTTGGCCAAAGCTGTTTTCATTGACTTTGGGACCCTGACCAAGACCAATTCCTAAAGTCCACCTGGAAGAATCTTTGGGGCCAGGCTCCTGCCTCTACTCTCCCTACTAGGCAGGACAGGAAGTTTCAGAGTTTAGTCCTACTTCAGACAAATCCTGGGCCTCATTCATTGATTTGCTGAGCACCTGCTGCATGCTAGGCACGGTGCCACAGACAGGTCCAGTGATGAACAGGACACATGTAGGCTCCGCTTCTCCTCAGCTGAATTACTGGAGGAGATGGACATCCGACAAATAATTACACAAATAATCCTATTTTGTAATTGTGATAAGCGGTGGAGCCTTTCCTTAAATAATTAAACTTCCTCTTGGTGTCTCTTGGTCTGAAATACGCTGTGATACAATAATTCACGCTTGAGAAAAGGAAGCAGAGACCAAGGTCCCAGAATGAGATGTTCAGGTGACATCCGCAAATCTCGTGATCACGTATGAGAACACGGTGCATGGCCCAGGGAAAGTTGCCTGTGGTCATTAGCTTTGCTTTTGGAGGTCATGTCAGACTCCGGTGATAGTTTCTGGCAGAGCCTGTTTTGGGTTGTTCCTGGGGAATTAGGTGTGGAAAACCAGACAGACTGTTCTGTGATTGTCATCTTCAGTCTCGGGAAGAGGAACTGAAGGTCAGGGCTATGCGTGTGTCCCTACGTCTGCACAGAGCAGCGTCGTCAGCTCCTTCCGGAGCTGCACTGGCTTCCCGTCACTCAGATCGGTTATTACATCTGAGTTTTAGACCTTTAAACATTCTCCATACTGTTTGAAGAAGCTACAATTAACATCTCCCAAGCAGCTCAGCAGAACTTGGTTGCTAGGCAGCAGACCTTTAAAGACAATTTGTCATTTTCTGCCATAAGAGAGAAAAAATAGTAAACATTCACGTTTTTAGAAAATTACTTGTTTTCCAACTTCTAACTTTTCTAGCCATGGGTATGGCCTCTGGTTCATCAGTGTCCATTTTATTCTTTATTCAGTTTTCATAAATAATTCAGAGGCATTTTAGGAGAATAATTGAGCCTTTTTCAAGCTTAACCTCTGGCAGTTTAAAACAAAAAGGATGTTTGGGTGACAGTTGGGTTGCCATATTTGTGGACAGGTTTTATATAAATGTACAGAGCCTCCTTTGGAAGGTACAGAGTACCCAGCTGTACGTAGCCTTGGGCAGCAACCCAGGAAGGTGGCAGATCCGTGGAAGACTCTTGAGCCATTCAGCCTTTGTTTAGCACCTCCCAAGTGCTAGGCCCCATGCGCACTGTTGGGCTCCAGCCTGTGGCCCAGCCGGACCTCACTGAGCTTACCTCCTCCTTGTGGGGGCTACATGGTAGGAAACCAGGCGATTCCAATACAGGGGCTGTGGGAGGTCAGAGGAAGCCCAGAACCCAGCCTGGGATCAGGGAAGGTTTCCCAGAGCAGATGTGGACGGGACCAAGCCCTCCAAGATAAAACAGGCCGGCACCACTTTGGCAAGAGAGAAGAGCATCCCAGCAGGGTGCTCCTCTGTGCCAAGGGTCAAAAGTGCTCCACAGACTGATGTGTATCTGTGTGGCCACAGGGGCTGGCAGGCCCTGCAGCTCAGCCTGAGGGAAGATGGTGGAAAGCCACGGAAGGGCTTGAAATTTGCAAAGGCCACCATCAGATTTGCATATTCCAGCCTTTGGGGAAGCTATGTGATTTGGCTTCAGTACGGGCATTGAGCACGTGACCAAAAGGGGCAGGCAGGTTGTGGGGGAGAGCTGGTTGGCTCCAGAGTTTGTGGCCTGGGATCTTTTGCCACTTTGAACATGTAGGACCTGGTGTAGGCTATTTAACTAACCTTAGGTTAGCGTCCCAGAATAGGGATGATGGCAGCATTGGCCTCAGAGAGGTGGTGTAGGGACTAATACTAAATCAATTCAAGAACATCCCGTAGACTGGTACTGGATACACGGTGCTCTTTAAGTGTTGGCTGCTACCATCATGATAGTGCTCCCCTTCCTGCATTTCCATCAGTCCCCTGCCCAAAAAGGCCACCTGTGTCCAGTCTTCCACCTGCTCCCTGAGTGACCTAGGATGAAACACGCACCTCTCTTGGGGCTAGACTCTTTCCCCTCTCTCTCCCTCCCTCCCTCCTTCCCTCTTTCCCTCCCTCTCCCCCTCTCTTCTTCTCCTCCTCTCTCTCCTTCCCTCCCTCCCTCTCTCCCTCTCCTTCCTAAATCTTTCTGATCCACTTGAGCCTGGGATCCCTTCCTTCCTGCTGAGTTCTCAGTGCCATGCCTGTTCCGAACTCAGGGCCACCTCTCCCCTGCTGGTGGGGCTTGACATTGTGGTCTCTCAGACTCCAGCTTGGGTAGTGCACTGGTCCTTAGGCTTCGAGCCCTGCAGACCAGAGGCTGCATGTTGCTCTAGTTAGGTCCCCGTGTTTGGGGAGCTGTACGTATATCCTTGAGGTACCTCACCTTGTTGATGGGGGTTCAGAAAAGCACTGTGGAGGAGCCAGCTGGGGGCCTCCGACTCCTTGGGTAATTTCCCAGAGAGGCCCTTTCATTCATTCATTCACTCTTTCAGTCACTATTTTCTGAGCACCTACTATGTGGCAGTGGTCATGCCAGGCACTGAGAACGTAGCAGACAACAGGATTGCTGTAGGGGGGTGGGGGGAGATGGCAAAAAAAAATAGCAACAGGTGGACACCAGTTAATTGTTGGGGTGTAAGTGCTGGGAAGCGAGGGAGGAAGACGGAGTGGAAGGGGCCTTTGTGGGACACTTGGCACTGCCTGAGTCAGGGTGATCGGGATAGCCCAGGATGAGGGAATAGCAATCACTTTCAGACTTACCTGTGCATCTCTGGAGGGGGCTTAGTGACGGTAGTGAAGGGGTGATTTCTGGGGCAAGATGATGGGTTGTCCCAGGTGGGAGGCTTCCCGTGGCATCAGAGGGACAGGGCTTTGGTCTGGACCCCACTTGGTTTACCGGGATCAAGAGAACTTGGAGGCCCTGATGAGTCCACTGTGGGTTCAGTTCACCCCACTAGGTCCCGCCTCAGCTCCAGAAGGAAATAACCAAGTCCCGGTCCTGCTGGGCTCCGCAGAGGCATCGGCTAGGAAAGGCCCAAGCCAGGAGAGGGAGACTTGGGAAGAACAGCACAGAAGCACCCACTACCTGAGTTTGTGTTCTTGTATCAGCCGTCTTAACCGCTTGTTAATAAGATATGCAAATTATCGGGGCTGTGAAATCTTCACCGCATTTCATCTTCTGCTTAATTAGCATTTAATCGTAATCTCATTTTAATTTTTTCACACTGGCACCCTAATTAAATGTTAGGGTGTTAGTCTTAACAATTAAATTATATTGGCAAATAGAGTCTTCAGGAAACTTGACCTTTTCCAAGCCAGGGCCCTGTCTAGCCAGATGCAAATGTTAATTAGATTTCTGGAAGATGCTGCCTTGAGTCCCCTTAGTGCACCCATTTCAGTTGTTTCCTCATTGTTATGGCCCTTGATTCAAATGAGACACACACAGCCAGTGAGTTGGGCCCCTGGTAGGCAGAGGTTAGCACTGACCGGGTTGGTCATGGGCCTCTGGAAGGCCAGTGAAGCTGGTTTTTCTGGGGAGGGAGAGATTTGTTGGAGTTTGGTCTGAGGCCTGCAGTGCTCTTGGAAGTGGTTTCTCAACTTGTGATTCTCGTTTGATAATCCCTGGGAAAGTGGGTGCCTAAACAAGTCACGTAGTAATCTGGAGCTGCTACCAAGACCTGCAGCAGCCCTTTGTGGGAGGCCACAGTGAGGTCAGGCAACGGGGAGGGAGGGGCATTGCCGGTGTTGGCTGGGCTTGCAGATTGTTCTGGGGTGGGAGGAAGGAGGGGGTCGATGGGGACAGACAGAACATTGAGTGAGCCGTTGCCCAGAAGAAAACCAGAGCATGAGGGTGCACACATTCATGGCCTGGCTCTGAGAAGATTTGGATGGGCTTGACTGAGAAAAAAATGCAGCCCTATCCTCCTCTTACTCTCTCACACACAGAAGACGGCCCTGTGTTGCCCCGGCTGAGGAGGGGACACGGTATCCTTGTTCTTAAGGGACGCTGGGGACCCTGACCCATGGGAAGCTGTCTGTAAGCTGTGCTGGGGCCTGGCCTCTCCCTCAGCTGTTTACATAAGGTCCTGGCCTTTCCTTTGCCTAAGTTGGTGGCCTGCCCTCCTTCGCACCTCCCCTCGAGCAGGAACATAATTCTAAACCTGTGGAAATGCCCCGAGCAGTCAGTCCCTTAATGGCAGTAATGCCTTCACAGAAGCCTTTCTACAGTCTAGTTTTTCCCCTTTTTCCCCTTCCCTCTGAGGTCCACAACCATCCATCGTTCAAGCTCTGTCCTTAGATCAGAACACAGGTGAATTCAGTTCAACACATTTACCCAACATCTCCTGTGTGCAGAGCCCTGTGCTGAGTTCAGAGAAGATGTGTCATTGTCATGATTTCCTTTGCTTTGGCTTCTTACTCCTAAGTAAGTGGGCAGAAAGCCCACTCAAGTTGCCTTTGCATCTTCCTGCCCTGGCTGTGGAGCAGACCACCCTGAGGCACTCTTTCTTCTCCTACTCCTGACAGGTTTTCCGGACAGACTTGATCACAGCCATGAAGATCCCAGACTCCTGCCAGCTCAGCCCGGATGACTACTACATCCTGGCGGACCCATGGCGACAGGAATGGGAGAAGGGCGTGCAGGTGCCCGCGGGGGCAGAGGCTATTCCAGAGCCCGTGGTGAGGTAAGCCAGGAGGCCCTAAACAGGGGAGGCCGGGGCAAGGGAACTTTGTAGCCTCTCTCTATTCCGTCTTAGATTCTTTGGTCCCATCAACCACTGAAAAATTCCAGAAATACTGGCAGTTTATCTTTGAGGCTGAGGGCCTGGGCTTGGGCTCAGCTCTAGAGCCAGATGGCTTGGGTTCAAATTGCCACTCCCATTGACTGGGACCTTGGGCCAGAAATGTAATCTCCCTGGGCCTCGGTTTCCTTGTCTGTGAAATGAGAGTGGTAACAATACCACCCACTTCGTATGGTGGTCGAGATGACAAGGGCAGCGACGCATGGGAGACGCTTGGCACAGGGCCTGGCACACACCAGCGCTTGGTAGAAACTGGCCATGGATTAGCTTGATGTCAATCCAAATTGCATCCCATGAGCAGATCTTACCAGGGAAATCTCCAGGCTTCTAAACAGTCTCTAAGATAGGAATAAGCCATGCTGTTGACTTCTTAAACCTTTTTAAGGAGTTCTGAGTGGGAGGGAGTTGAATGCCGGCACACAGCAGATGCTCAGGAAGCAGTGGTTGTGACCACCCTCGGGAGGGTTCCCTGCCAGGGGTCAGGGTGCATCCTCTCTAGGCTTTGTAGCCTTCTGGTCTTGTGGATTGGAGAGACCCCTGGTGCATCTTGGCCATGGCCCTTGCCTCCAGTGACAGAGCTCAGCCAAGTGCTTCTTTCTGCACCCTGGGAAACCCCTAAATCTTGTCTCTGGGCTGAGGGACCTGAGGTCCTGGCCTCCCTGGCCCACCAGCACACTTGGCCTTGGCAGCCCCGTGGCTCTCGGTTAGGCGCATTTTGACCAGGTCTGGGGCAAAGATTGCAGCCTTCATCACCCTTGACATTGGCACCGTTGCTTGCTGGCAGCCACACCTGTGAGTCGCTCACAGAACCCCCGTGCCCAGCTGGTGCCAGGCCTGTGCTGGGCATGGGATTACAGAGGCAAATCACACTCTGAACCCTGCTTAGGTGCTCTGTGAGGATTGGGTGCTGGGCAGGGCTCATCTTGTGGCTCCGGAGCGCTGAGTGCCTGCCAGCTCTTGGTGTCAGGCCCTCTGAGGATCAGGGGAGCTCTAGGGTTCTCCGGAAGGGAGAATATGTGGGGTTTGCAGAGGGAATGTATTCTCTAAACATGGATTAAGCTCCTAGCCAATTTCACACCTTCATCTAGGCAGACTAAAGAACTATTACTGACCTATTTGAGCCAGGTTTCTCCTCTGTAAAACGGGGCTAATAACAGTAGCTGTCCAATGGTGTAGTGGGGATTAAATGCGAATACACAAGGCAAGGGCCCAGGGCAGTGAAGGGGCGGGACAGGCCAGCAGCTGGGCAGGGAGGTGAGTCCTGTTGAGGCTTGGCCCAGCTGTCTGTCCTCTCTCCTTGATGTCAATGTCAGGTGGTTCCGGAAACATCCAATAGCCTGGGTAATTAATTGCAGATGCTTCCACACGAGTAGCGTGGCTTCTGTCTGCCGGCGCAGTGCTTTATCTGTTGACATCAAGAGGAGAGCACGCATTCAGACAGCTCTGGCTCAACGAGGTGCATTCCCCGCTACGCATGGCTGCTCTAAGCTGACAGGAGCCAGGCATTCCTGGCCTGTCCGTGCTCTCTGGAGAGGACAGACTAGAGGCAGGGAGGGCTTGGAGAAGGCTCCCCTGTCTCCCTCCAGCCCAGTCCCTCCATCTCTCTGGGCACCTCCCACTGCAAGCCAGTGCACCAGCCAGCCCGGTCAGAATTGTTACAGCAGCTCTTCCTGAGAATTTGCTGGGCTGAGCCTGTTAACGTTCATCTTCTCATTTAATTAGCATACTGGCCCTAGAAGTACATCTTACTGTCCTGATATGATAGATGAGGAAGCTGGGAAATTCTGGGGAATTCCCTGCATGACCGCCAGGGCCTAGGGGGCTGGGCCAGGAAGTCCCAAGCCACGAGAACAAGCCCGGGTTGCCCCTGTGAGGCCCAGAGAGAGCCCGTGCCCCGATCACACTGACGCCCTCCCCCCGCTGCCACCCCGGCCCCTTCTGCCTCCCGCTTTTCCTCCAGTCTTCCCTGGCCCGTGGGCACGTCTGCCCACCTCATGGTCTGAAATTTATCTGGGTAATGAGAACCTGTCTCACCCCCTGATTGTGAATTGAGTAATGGTCTATGCTGCTCCCTCTCTGTGTGGCCAAAAGACTCAACCCAGGGCAAAACCAACCTCTGGTGTGGGTGTCATCTTTTGGAGTAGAGACCCTCCCCCAGGTCCCGGCCGAGCCATCCACTTCCTCCAGCTGACCTCTGTCCTGCTGGCTACAGTTGAGACAGAGTCCTTGGCCTAGGGTCAGGTCAGCCCACGCCTGGTAGGATAGCTTCTGCCAGAGCCAGGGCCAGAAGAGGCATCACGGATGAAGACGAGGGCCCCAGGAAGCACAGGAAATGCCTTTTCTGGACCCTAGAGTCTCTGAGAAAGAAAGGAACGTGATCTTGGCCCCAAGAGGTCTGGCCAGGGGGCAGCTGACTGACCATACAGGTGTAGGCAGTGAGGCCGGAAGGTGGTGGGACAAAGCTTATATCCAAAACCTGACTGAGCCTACGCTGGGAGCACAAAGCGGAGTCAAGACAAAATTAATCTATGTTTTTAAAAGAATGTGTTAATTCCAATAAGACCCTCAGGGGATTTTGTAGGACTAAGAGTATCAGTACTGCATCCATTTGGAATGACCTATTTTACAGGAGGATGGAGGGAGTCACACCATTTGTCCTTACCTGAGGTCTTCCTTGATCTGGGCCTCCCACGTGGCACCAAGCACTTTCCCTCACTCCTTGCGCCCTTTAACCTCCCTCTGACCCTCCCCTCCTGGTCTGGAGGCCATTTTTGCCTTCCTGTTTCCTCCATCCTTCCTGCCCCTCTGGCTGACACGCGGGGCCCGCCCTAGAGCCCGGGAGTCCTCCCATAGCTCAGCCATGTCTCTGGGCCACCCTGCCTTCCCCTCCCCAGTCTGCGCTGAGTCACAACCCCCGGCAGCCCTGCCTTTGACCCCAGGAGGCCTCTCGGGCAAGCGAGGGGCCTCTCAGGCCTGGCAGGGCTGGCCAGATGGAAGCCAGGCTCCGCAGCAATAACCATGGCAACCAGTGGGGGGTGGGAAAAGCTGGCATCGGGAACGGGCATCGGGAACTCAGGGGCAGCACACAGCTGAGCCAAGAGGGGAAACTGCCCTCCCAAGGCAAAAAGCCCTCCTATTCCATTTCTGAAGGAGTAGAGTGAGATCCAGAGGACTTAAAATACGCACTCAGACACCTACAGTGCCTACTGTGTGCCAGGCACTGTTGTCAGAGTTTACACGTATTTGTCCGTTTAACCCTTAACCAGCCGTAGAAGGCAAGTACTATTATTGCTAGCTTATTTTTTTGAATGAGGTCTCAGGGCACAGAGAAGTTAAGCAGCTTGCTCAGATCGCACAATGAGAGGTAGATCAGGGGGCAGGCGCCTGGCTGGCTCAGTCAGTAGAGTATGTGACTCTTGATCTTGGGGTCATGAGTTCGAGCCCCATGTTGGGGGTAGAGTTTACTTAAAAAGAAAACAGTGGATCAGGACTTTGAGTCCACATTTTGCAGCCAGGACCCTTCCGAGCTGCCCCAGGGAGAGCCGTGGCCCAAGGGAGGGCTGAGCTGGAGTATGATCCTAGGGCTGTAGTAGGCATGTACGTCTTTATATCCAAGGTAGGAGATCTCCATCTTGCACTGAGGGTGGGGGCAGCACGGTGAGAGACCTGACTGCTCAGGTTACATTGTATCTGGAGGGAATGATAAGGTGTGTAGGAGACACTACGTCCTCTGGGGAGGGAGACCACAGAGAATGTGGAAAGGGCCACCCTGGGCTGCAACACTGTACCCAGGTAAGACCCCTTCTCTCTCCCGACCTTGCGGGGACATGGGGACAATTCCTGGCATCCCCCTGGCCTTGAGGGGAATGCTGAAGGACCTGAAGCCTTGCTGACTCTATCCCACCTGTCCCAAAGTGGCTTGCACTGAGCATTGCCCAGGAGAGCACGTGGACTGCCTCTGATAGAGCCCCAGGCAGGGCAGATCTGGATCCTGGAGCGTTAGCTAAGCCCAGATGCCCTCATGGGAGGACCAGTAGAGGTGTGCTCTGGGCAGGATGGATGTTTATGGGATGTGTAAGACAATGGGTCAGCACCCACTCCCAACCCACATTCTGCCCTTTGGTCTCCTCTCCCATAGTCCTTTGAGTCTCTGCAGGGTGGGCAGGCAGGACAAGGTAGTGTAAGGTGGTGACCTCAAAGTCTCACACCTCATTTGCCCACCAGCTCCTCAGCTGAGCTGGCCAACTCACTGGTGGCCCCCAGACCCAGTGAAGGTGGCAGGCTGAGGGTCCCTCCCCTCATGATACCCTCTCTTGATTTCCTAGGATCCTCCCGCCGCTGGAAGGCCCCCCTACCCAGGTGTCCCCTAGCAGCTCTGAACTTGGCGAGGGCTCCCAGCCTGATTGGCCTGGGGGCAGCCGCTATGACCTGGACGAGATTGATGCCTACTGGCTGGAGCTCATCAACTTGGAGCTCAAGGAGATGGGTAGGTGACCTGCCAGGCTGAGAGTGGGATGGGTGCAGGCCAGGCAGGGTTTTCTTCCGAATGCCAGCATCCTCACCCTCAGAAGGGCAGTGGCTGCGACGGGGCTTTGGCACCGCATGGATATGAGAGAAAGTCCCTACTGCATTATTGATCAGAGAACTTCTTTGATGTCTCTGTGCCTCATGTTCTGTAGCTGTCAGGTGGGGGCAATAATGACCTGTCATTTGCAGAGTTCTTGAGGATATTATTAGAAAGCCTGAGTATTACGCGAAGAGTAAGTGAACACATAAGTGAAGTTAGGATGACAAATGGGGCGCCGGGTCAGTTAGCAGGGGCCTCCTGGCTGGAGCCCACCAACATGTCCTAGGAAGGTCCCCCCACCCCATACATGCAGCTCAGGCAGTGAATTCCCCATGCATACAGCTGCATCCCAGAGATCCTATCATGTTATCTGCATGCACACACGTGTGTGGTCACAAGCAGGCCATCTAAAGTCAGAGCCCCAGGACCAGCCCCCAGGGGTCTGTGAGATTGAACGGTCCAGCCCATCCTGTTTCCCGATGATGGCGCTGAGGCCCATGACTGTGGGTGCATTTTCCCAGGTCACACAGTGGGTGAGTGGAGATCCGCGCCCCCCCTTCGCCATATACCTGTCCTGACAAGCCAGGCTCCTAACACCCTCCCCTGCCATCCTCACAGAGAGGCCCGAGCTAGACGAGCTGACGCTGGAGCGTGTGCTGGAGGAGCTAGAGACCCTGTGCCACCAGAATATGGTGCGGGCCATCGAGACTCAGGAGGGCTTGGGCATCGAGTATGATGAGGACGTCGTCTGTGATGTGTGTCGCTCTCCCGAGGGTGAAGATGGCAATGAGATGGTCTTCTGTGACAAATGCAACGTCTGCGTGCACCAGGTGGGCCGGCCCCGCAGCCTCACCCCGCCCTCACCTGCTGCCCTGCCAGGCTGCTGCTGGCTGCTGCTGGCTGCTGGTCGTCCCGGCTGTAGGAAGGCCCCAGCCCTGCGGCCACAGGCCCCTGAGAAGCAGGGCAAGGGAGGAGGAAGGGAATGGAGCGAGTGCCCCAGGGCTCAGCGCTGTCCGCCAGAGTTGAGTAAATACCCCTTGGGTGGCCTTTCCATCCTTGTCCTGGGGGCCTCCCTCCGAGGCTCCCCGCTGAACACCCTGCCCCCCCTGCTCCTCCTTCTCTCCGACCTGAACTTAGAAAAAGGCCGCACCATGCTGTGATGGAGAGCAAAGCCTGGAGCCAGGCTGCCTGATTTCAAATTGTGGCAGGGCACAATTTGAATAAGAATTACCCAATAAGAAACTGGGTAATTTTTTAACCTCTCTGGTCCTCTATTTCCTCAACTCTAAATGAAAATAAGTTGTTGGTGGGCGCCTGGGTGGCTCAGTTGGTTAAGCGACTGCCTTCGGCTCAGGTCATGATCCTGGAGTCCCGGGATCGAGTCCCGCATCGGGCTCCCTGCTCGGCAGGGAGTCTGCTTCTCCCTCTGACCCTCCTCCCTCTCATACTCTCTGTCTCTCATTCTCTCTCTCTCAAAATAAATAAATAAAATCTTAAAAAAAAAGAAAATAAGTTGTTGGGAGGTTTCGCTTACTTCCTAGGAGTTCTTTGCTTAGAACAGTGTGTAGTACAGGCTGTAAGGATTTACCACTACTGATCTTATATACCACGCATGTTGCCTGACATGCCCCCCCTCTTGATCTTGGGCCCCAAACCTCCCAGGTTTTGGGCATCGCTGGGCGTTGTTTACAGAAGACTTGACTGGAACCCAGTGGACCCACTCTAGCCCTGACTTTGAGCACACACACAACTTATTAGCCACTGCTGCTAGAATAGCTTCTGGGGAGCTCAGAGGCAGTGGACCCCTCATTCATTCATATCCCTTATACCCAGTAGCTCGTAGGTCCATAAGCCTTAGGCATGACTAGGAGGAGCCTCCTTCACAAATCCCTGTGAAAAAAAGGAAAACGCTCAGGGCCTTGTCCTCAAGCAGCATACAAACCCAAATTTGTGTCCAACTTCTGGACATGGACACTTCTGAAGTCCAGCACTTACTAGGAACCTCTGGCCAAAGTGACTTTCCTCCCAACAGAGGGCAGAGCTGAGCCCTTCCACAGAGGACTGGAGTCTTTGCCTTAGAATCCCTGTGGAGGCCTCCTTGCCAGAGCCTACTCACAGTGGGGCTCTGTAGCTCCTCGCTCGGGCTGGGGCCGGGGCTGTGTGCAGCTGACTCCTGACCAGGTGTCGATGGTAACCACCCTGCTCTCTCCTCAGGCATGCTACGGGATCCTCAAGGTGCCCACGGGCAGCTGGCTGTGCCGGACGTGTGCCCTGGGTGTCCAGCCAAAGTGCCTGCTCTGCCCCAAACGAGGAGGAGCCTTGAAGCCCACCAGAAGCGGGACCAAGTGGGTGCACGTCAGCTGCGCTCTGTGGATTCCTGAGGTGGGCAGATCGGGGCAGGGGGCGGCCCTGGGGAAGTGGGTCTCCATGGAGCTCAGAACTCAGGGAGCAGAGCACTGGGAAAGAAGGTGACAGGCCTCCATAAAAAGGGGTATCTCACATGTGGCACCTGAGAAGAACTGGGGCAGCAACCCGCAGAGAGCTTTGCCTGTGGTCTTGGATAGAACTCAGGTGGTGGTTTCCATGGGTAGGTGGGATTATGGGCCCCTGGGGGATCCAGGTGGTTAAGTCTGAGAGCTGAGCAGAAGTCAGGCAGCAGAGCAGAGGGGGAAGCATGCTGTGGGTCCTTCCAAATCCAGGCAGTGGTTCCAACCAACGTCAGGCTCCTTGCTTAAAACAAAAATAAGCCGCTGACCGAAAAGGAAATCAGGCAGTCAGGCAGAGAGCTAATTAGAAGTGGATGGTGGGTCCATGGGTTCATGGCTGTGGCTGGGATGGAGGGATTGGCCTGGGTCTGAGTCTAGGTGGAGGGGGGACCATGGGTGACACACTAGGTCCACCGTGAGTTAGTGAGTCACCAGGGCGCTGGGCTCCTGGAAGGTCACCCTGTTCTATTTGAAATAGGAAATGCTGACGTTCACCAGAGTTTCTGCCCCAGGCCCGCTGTGTGCCCCAACTGGGAACGTGGCCCCCTCCGATGCTGCCTGTACTTGCAAGCAAGCCAGGTGCCCCTATCAGCAGGGGCCCCTCCCCTTCGTGGGCTTCCAGTCTGAAGGTTCTTGCAGGGACTCCCCATTGTAGGCTTCTGTGGTGATCATGGTTGCGTTGACAGTGGTTTCTTGCTCCCGGAGCAACCTCTTGAAAGCTGGGACTACCTCTGGGTGTTCCCTGGACTGGGCACCTCAGAGACAGAACCAGCAAAGACCCTGCCCCACCATGGGGGCCCTTTGGTTCAGGACCTCTGAACAGGAGCCCTTCTTCCATCTTCAGGCATGGGCAGTGGGGAGGCAGATGTATCCTCGGGCTGAGGGGTGGGGGTGGGCTGTGTGCCCAGAAGACTTAGGTATGGTTGTTGGCTCGTCCCCGTAGGAGGGACGGGCAGGGCTAAACAAAGGCACATCCCCACTGGCCAGGCAGGCCCTGGAGGAGAAGAGATGCTGCCTTGGGGCCTTTACTTGCTGCCCAGAAACATTAAATAAACTCGTGTTCTAGTAAGAACTCCGAAGGTGCTAGTAATGAAGGGGTGAGGTATAGAAGACATGGGGATGCTGCATGTACTCATCTGTGTGTGCGTCTGCATGCATACAGACACCCACACACACACTGAAGCCTCGCTGCCTCAAGGCCCACACCACCACGACGTACGCACACACGCACACACACACACACACACATATAATCAGTTACATGGCCTGATGTACACTCTCATACACAGTCACAAACAAGGCTAGTCACAGGTGAGCAAACACTAACGCACTCACTTCCTGGTCAGCTTGGGAGAGTCAGGAAGGTCTTGGGATGCAGGGGCTCTCCCCCGGCCCTTTGTGCCCCCTACCTGGTTTCGGCAGACGGCTCCCATTTGGGGGATCCCTAGAAGCGAGCGGGGAGGAGAGGCCTGATGCAGCTCCCTGTCTCCTGCCCAGGTCAGCATTGGGTGTCCAGAGAAGATGGAGCCCATCACCAAGATCTCGCATATCCCAGCCAGCCGCTGGGCTCTGTCCTGCAACCTCTGCAAGGAGTGCACAGGCACCTGCATCCAGGTACGAGGCCCTTCACCTCGCGGCTGCCCGAGGACTCATGCCAGGCTCAGCCACAGAGAGGGGTGCATCTGGGACGCTGTGGAAAACAGGCAGCTGCCACCCCACTCCCCCTGTCCCCACGGTGCTGCAGACAGAACCACCGTGGAGGCCTGGTCCCGTAGCCAGACGCAGGACCCCACCGAGGGGCATTCTTCCATCCCCAGCCCCTCCAGGCACGGCGTATAGGCCCTGGGAGCAAAGGCTCACCGCGCCACCATGCCCTGGCTCTCCCCAAGAGTGACTGTCTTTGGGGTTAATAAACACATGGACCTCACTTCTGACATCAGACATACCGTGTGGGAGGGGCGGGAACCACTTCTCCTCCAGCTGAGCCCATACCGGGCAGGGCTCTAGCAGTCTGTCCATAGCGGTGGTTCCCAGATTCTGGTGTGCAGCAGGAGCACCTGGAGGGCTTGTTAAAACAGATTGCTGGGCCTATCCCCAGAGGTCCTGACTCAATAGATCTGGAATGGGCTGAGAATTTGCTTTATCAGCAGGTTCCCAGATGATGTGATGCTGCTGGTCTTTGGGTTGGAAAGTGGGGGGTCATTCTTTGTCTTCCTCATTTTTCTAGCAACAGTTGTCATTGCAAACACTAAATGTGCCTCCGCCCATTTTTAAGACTTTCAAAATGACTTGTGAGTGCAGTCTAAATATTCATTAATAGTTGGGTGGGGTATTGCTGAAACATTTATCAGCTGCCCACAGCCATCATCCAAGGCTGGGAGAGAGGAGCCGGCCCTGAGTTGGCCCCAGCTGCCTGGGCAAGAGAGGGAAGGGGGTCCACTTCCAGCCCCTCTTTCCAGAGGACATAGGCGGTGCACGACTCCCCATCTTAGATCATGTTGCAGAAGGGAGGCAGGGACCCATCACCAGTCTCTTTTGATGCCTCTTTTTCCAAAGTCATTTTGCCCACACAGTAATGCAGCTTACTCCCAAGGGTTGTCAAATCTCCTGACTGCTCATTTCCCCAGGATATATATGGTGCTGAGCCCCATTTCCTTTCAGGCTCCCCCAGAGTTCCCCCTTCCCACTTACCAGAGCTCCCTCCATAGCCACAGGATGTTGCGGGTCCGAACCATTGTGGGTCGGGTGTCGCCGGCAGCCTGGATTCTCAGTGGAACCTCTTCCCTCCTAGCAGGGCTCCCCTCGTGCCTGACACTTCCCTCCTTTCCCTCCAGTGTTCCATGCCTTCCTGCGTCACAGCGTTCCACGTCACGTGCGCCTTTGACCATGGCCTGGAAATGCGGACTATCTTAGCAGACAACGACGAGGTAAAGTTCAAGTCGTTCTGCCAGGAGCACAGTGACGGGGGCCCTCGGGGGGAGCCCACTTCTGACCCCACGGAGCCCAGCCCCGCCGGCGAGGACCTGGAGAAGGTGACCGTGCGCAAGCAGCGGTTGCAGCAGCTGGAGGAAGACTTCTACGAGCTGGTGGAGCCAGCCGAGGTGGCTGAGCGGCTGGAGCTGGCCGAGGCGCTGGTTGACTTCATCTACCAGTACTGGAAGCTGAAGAGGAAAGCCAACGCCAACCAGCCCCTGCTGACCCCCAAGACCGATGAGGTGGACAACCTGGCCCAGCAGGAGCAGGATGTCCTGTACCGCCGCCTCAAGCTCTTCACACACCTGCGGCAGGACCTGGAGAGGGTGAGTGCCCCTGCCACCGCCCCACAGCAGCCATGGCTCTCCAGGACTCAGGTGGTGCGCTCTGGCCCGGGGGCCAAGGGCCTCCAGGTCTCTGACAGGGTGGGGGTATCTGATACTGTGCAGAACAGGGAAGCATCTAGCCCTTGGGTCTCCGAGCACCTCTTGTCCCTACCCTTGTGGGGGCCTGAAGAGTGGGGGCCCTGCCAGGGTCCTGAGGCTAGAGGGCATCAGAGCTGGGGCACGACCCAGGCTTCCAGTGTCTACTGGCCTCTGTCCCCATTTGTGGCCTCCGTGGGCCATGCCTATTCCCAGCACATGAGCTTCTGCTTGGAATCAGAGGCCGAGGAGGAACTGGGAATCACAGCAAGTTGGATCAACCCAACAAGCATGTGCTGGGCCAGGGCAGGGAAGACAGGTGTTAAGAGGCATGGGGGCGTACAGGTGGGCCAGAGTCACAGTGGCCTGTGTGGAATAGGAGAAAGGTCAGTGGGTGGGCCATGATGTGTGTGGAGACTGCAGAATGTTTTAAGCAGGGACTGTCCCTCTGTGGCTGCAACTTCCAAACACTCACCCTGGGAAAGGAATCACGGGGCCTACAGTGGATGGATGACCCAAAGCCCCCAGCTCTATGCTAGGAGACAGTGGGTCTTGGCTTGGTGCAAGCGGGTAGTTCTGGGAGCTGAGTCAGATGAGGAGACGCCATGGCTTTGGGGTGAGCTGTGGTGGTTGAGGGATAGTGAGAGTTGCTTTCCTGGAGCATGGAGGCCCCCCAAAGCTTCCAGTCCCTTCTACTCCCCCAGAAAAGAGGTGAGGTGGTTCCACCTTCTGTGGGGTATGCCCTCGAAGTTGACTCTTCTTTCCCACTGTGTTACCTCTAGCGCAAGTTAGAGGCAACCCAAGGATAAAACAGGATGGTCTCTGAACCGCAGGTGCTGTTCTGGCCTCTCTTTGGGACATTCTGTCCAAGGGTTCCAGAGCACATGGGACCATGTCACAGTGTCCTCGGTGCGTGGCACAGACACACCTGCCTGCCCTTACCCCAGGCCTTGTTAGACAGCCCTGGGTGGACACGTTCAGGGGGCTTTGTGTGACCTGAGGCAGCTGCTTGGCTTAGGTCCATCTCTGTTGGCAAGTCTGTAAAATGGGTAGAAGAGTTTGGCAGGTGTTGTGCTGTGTTGGGAGGAACATAAGGTGAAGGCACTGAATCTGGACCCAGCTTGCCCGAGCTCCTCTACCCTGAGCCCCAGTCAAGGGGAAACAACCCCGCCGGCCTGGGAGGGAGCTTACCGGCCTGCCAGCAGGTCAGAAGGGGGAGGTGGAGAGTGGGGACGGCAGATGTCCCTGGCTCCAGCCAGGCCGGAGGGCAAGGCCATCTACATTGTAGCCGCCACTTCCTGGGCAGCCCAGCGTCCTGTCTCATGTGGCAGTGGCATCAGGTACATGAGGACATGGAGTACTTTCAGAGACCAGAGCCGCCTCCACAGTTGCCCTCAGGCCACCCTGAGTCTGCACCCTCCGCATCTCCAGCGCAAACACCCTGCTTTTACTCCTGCTCTTTCCCAAGTGACCCCTCAGGTCTGACCTCCCTAGGGTCTGTGCTGGTCTGGCTCCAGCTAGGCATCCAGCTAGGCAGTGTAGGGAGGCTGGGGGTGGGGTGACTTACTTAATCATCATCCTGCAAAAAGGGACAAAGTAGCTCCTCCTGGCCCTAATGAGCAGATGAGAAAACTAGGGCTCGGGAAGATGAATGACAGGGAGCCTTAGTGGAGAACTGTGTGTTTTCTAGGGTTTGACTTGAATTTGGACCTGAATGGGGGGCGGGGTTTGTCATAAGAAGGAGAGTTGTTGGCTTAATCTCCTGTTCTGTACACTTCCTGAGCAAAAGCATCCCTTCGTCGTCTCCCCAGCCTCTCGACCTCAGTCAGCTGGTACAGCTGTGGCCGGGAGCCAAGGTCAAGGGCTAGGATGCCAGCAGGTTCCCAGGCAGCCGGAGCTGCCATGCAGACACCTCTGGAAAGGGGACAGAGCCCTCCAAAGTCAGGTGTGAACCAGCCCACTCGTCCTCCAAGCAGCCCCCGAGCTGGACTGGCGGGCATGAGCCGAGAGCAAGGCAAGGGAGTGCAGAGAGTGTGTGGCCCTGGCAGGCAGAGGAGATGACGAGCCAGCCTGACACCCTGCCAGCCTGACGCCCTCCGGGTCTCGCCTTGGGGCCTTTCACAGCCCCTAGTTGGTGGCTTGCGGGAGGGAGCAGGGCTGAGAGCTCTGCCACAGGGGAGGCTTTCTGCAAAGACCCATGACTGTTGGTGGCCCGGCCATGGCCCAGTGCCAAGGGCCAAAACGATCCAGCCTCTGCCTGGGCACCCGGCCAGCTTGGGCCGAATCCATCCGGGAGGCAGGGTCGGGGTTGAGACGGAAGCCTTGGGCAACTGGGTTTGCATCCAGTTCCAGCATTTCCCAGCTCTGTGCCTTGAGTTTCAGTTTCCTTTCTGTAAAATGGGAATAAGGAGCCAACTGACCTTGGCGTCACCGCGAAGGTGGGAGCACAGCGACCTCTGCTGTTCGTCATGGTTACTGTTGCTGCCTGCCTCTTAGAAGAGTGGGCTGCTCAGGGGCGCCTGGGTGGCTCAGTTGGTTAAGCGACTGCCTTTGGCTGAGGTCATGATCTTGGAGTCCCTGGATCGAGTCCCGCATCAGGCTCCCTGCTCGGCGGGGAGTCTGCTTCTCCCTCTGACCCTCCCCCCTCTCATGTGCTCTCTCTCATTCTCTCTCTCTCAAATAAACAAATAAAATCT